TAGAATATATTATTTTTACTCTCATTTAACAAAAACGCTTTGATATCATAATATACCTAATATAAAATTATATTATATACCTTCATTATAAAATAATTCTAATACTAAATCATGAAACGAGTTTTGCATTCCAATTACTACAAGCAAATTAATGATACAACTACTTTTAGCAATATTGTATAATTATCGTTAATAACCAATGACTTTTATGCACCATGAAAAACATATTATACAGTACTATCGAAAATATCATTTGAATCACTTAAATATTATTAAAAATGTTTATATCAAGTATATAAAATAATACCTATAGTATGGAAGTATAATAAATAATTATTATTGTCTGTCACATAGGTAATGATAATATTTTCAAAATGTAACTCAAAAAATATTTTATTTAACAAGTATGTAAGGAAAAATATTTAGCTTACTACACAATTTATGATAAAATTCAATAAATATAGGTATATACAATTTTATTTTTGTTGAATTGTTGTATATACTAGTACATTATGCATGTTGTATATAATAACAATAAGTTATAAAAAAAACAAAAACAACAACAATTTATACAACAAAAATAAAAAGAAACTTTATATACTTTGTGAATAAAGTTACAGACATACATTTATTGTAAAATAAATATTAGTAAAATATAATTTAATAGGAGACAACCGTATTTAAATGTTATATAAAGTTTATTAGACCGACCTCAATAATAAAACAATAATAATAGTATTTAATTATAAATGTTATACTAAAAAAATTGTATACAATTTTATTAATAATATCATTATAATAATAAATAGTTTTTGGATATTACTTAGGTTTTAAAATATACTTATAAACACGATTGCTTTAAATTATTATATTGTAGTTGAATTATTGTAATTTAATACATTTTTTTATATAATTTTAAAGAACTTTTTTATTCTATTGTGTTGAGTCTTTCACTTCATACTATCAAACATTTTGTTATTTAGACTTAGGTAATTCATCAGGAAAATTCATATTTTTACAATCTCCTCGACTAATATTATTCCTAATGATCATTATTTAAGGCACAATAGTTTTATTTTATTTATTTTATCTTTGCATTATATACTGTTAATATTCTATATTTTTAGATATGGATAAAAATAAAATTAAGGGACTTATAAATCAATTTTATTTTTTAAACATAATGTTTCTAACGGTACCCAAGTTTTTTTTTCTATCATCACTTGGTTATAACTTGTGTATATTTGTACGATATATATATTATATATGATATGAAAAAGCACACAACGTTACTACATAAATTAACGAACAACGAGAATAGGGCTTTTTTTTGTAATTAAAATAGTAGGCATACTTATATTTCGTATAATATTGATATTGTAGCATATAATAACGACAAAATTACGATGGAACTTATACTATATATGTATTTTTATTAATTTGACAATATATTATATTGCGTGTTGTTCTTAATTAAAACAGCACAGGTGGTGACATTCGCATTGGTTTTAAAGAAATTTGTTAGGCCAAATAAAAACAGAGAAATTAAAACCTTTATGTTCGTAGTAATAATGATGATGATAGATGATAATAATAATAATAATAACAAATAAAATAACTTCGGTCATTACTCAAAAAAACACCATATAAATTTGTAATATGATAAAATAATACATAATATTATAAACTTCTTTAATAGTTGCGTCGATTGTAATTTAGATACTTATTAGGAGTAAAATATATATTACTTACATATAGCGCCCACAGCGGTGTGCTGTTAAACGTTTTAAATTAAAATTTTTTTTTTTTGAATAAATACCAAACGCACATATTATCATAAGTGTATATTATTATTATTATATTATATTTAGTATAATCAGTTCGATAATATGCATTTAGTTCGTCATATAATAAATGTAAATAGAAAACGTTTCAAAGGAAACTTTTATCAGTTGGTACTACTTATAAACGACTATTGCATTTATCTACATAGCAAAACTATCTCCGTTTATGTTAGTTTTGATTTTAATCAGTTTTTTTCGATTTGTAACAGGCAAAACTAGAAATTCATTTTATAATGTATATAGTGACGAGTTTTAAAATTAAATATTTGAAATGTATATGTTTTGCATATTTTGTCAATTTTAGAAAAGAGTATATGTTTGTAAGCATATTTTTCTAATGTTTCTAAGAAAAAATTAATATTTTTATGTTTTTAATAATTTATATTTATTTTAGAATACAACATTAAACATATCTTTTATAACTACTATTTAGGTACTGATAACTAGATTTTTATTTTCAGTTTCAATTTATTTAATTAAATAATTTTTAATAAAAAAAGTATACTAACAAAACAAAAATATTAATAAATAATAATATACACTATTATGTATTTTCAAAAATTATTATTTTAAATATTTTTTGAATTTTAATAAAAATGTTGTTTATTATTTATTATTTTTTTTTTTTTTTTGGTTGCATATTATATCATAAATATATTTGTGTACATTATTTTGTCTAGTTTAGGTTCTATAGTTTCCGAGTCTCAATTCTAAAAATATCACGTTTTACCTGACCGGCGCTACTACTCAAGGTAGAAATGTCCGTGTTCTGTTTACTGTAGTAACATTTAGTTTTAAACGTGTCGTGCAGTTAATCGATAAGGTGTGTGTGTGAACTTGTGAAATTCGGTAGCGTGGGATTTTTGGGCCTTCCGTTCTGCGTCCGCGTAAAAATCGCCCTCGACAATATATGTATATATAAAAAAAAAAAAATGAAAAAAATAAAACAAAACACATCCACTCATTATAAATTATTATTATGCCCTAAAACTAATAGAATCAAATAATCGAGTTCGCGCCGTGTGGAGAGACCGGTAATTTGTTTTTTCCCAGACGATTGCACGCGTCATACCCCGTTCATTATAATAATGTATTTTAAATACACGTATGATATAGATATAAATGCCCGTGATGGATTTTCAATATAATGCGTCCGATACACGCGTGTGTGTTCGTCGCGGATGGTAATTATTACAGTTTATTTGCCGTACAACACGACATCGATCTCCGGTTATAATAACCGAGTCGTGCGGCATTGCCCTTAGCACTCTGTATCGCACGAACGCTGCCGCCCGTTTGAGTATGTATTCTTATGTACCTAATGTAACTATATCATAGTATTAAGTATAAGATACCGAATTTATGTGTGTAGAACATATACTATTATTATTATTATTATTATTATTATATTATTGTTAAATGAGCTGCGCGCATGTGAAATCTGATGGTAAAATAAATAATTATACACGTATTGGCGTCGAAAATGTTGTCCGCGTGGTCGGAATCGCGTCTATTATAATATTATGCATGTGCAATAATATTTTAATGTCGAATTATACAGGGTGATTCGCAAAGCATACAAAATGCTTACCTATATTTTTCCTTTAATAATGTACTTAAGTCAAAATTCAATTGATTAGTTTCTGAGTCGTTAAAATTTATAAGTGTATGCTAATGATTATAGTAATTCAAAAATGATTTTATGAAAATATAAAACATACATGATATTAGTCATTAGATCTAGTATATTTTATTATATTCATATTATTTTACTTATAAATGTTGATGAATTAAAATTAATTACTAAAATTCTCATATAAACATAGCCTACATTGTACAGATCTTCCATGCACATGGACTTAAATTATTCTTAGTAAGTATGTACAAAGTTAAAGTCAACTTACTCAAAAACTACTCTTTGAATTTTGATTTTGATACTTCAAAGCTATCAGAAACATTATTTGTTAAGCAATTTATAGTAGAAAAGGAAAGAATAGTTCTCATTAAAAAAAAAATTATAAGTTTTTATCTCAAAAACAGGCCACTTTTTAAATAATATCAACATTTTTAATAATTTTAAAATTATAGTCTAAGTATATTTAATAATTCCAAAAATAAAATTTTGATTAGCTTTTTTTCTGACGAAAAAGGAGTGAACATTAAACATACTTGGTGAATCATTATGTGTGTAATGTGTGTATCCCGAAAATGTGACGTTTGTTGTACTTAAATTCAATGTTAACAATTTGATGTATAATTTCTTGAGCGTATCATGTGTAATGATTAATTCATGTTATTAAAATATGTACGTAATCTGCTCAATTACATAAAACGAAAAATTCGTAATACTACTAACTAATAATTAAAATAGTAAAAAATAAAAATAAATATAATACACGTTACAGAATATGCAGCCACGTGCGTTAGTCAATTATTACTTTTTTTGTACGGTCGAAGTTAATAATCGAGAAAATTCCTAATTATTAGGTATGATGATAATTTGATCACGAAAATCACGCGTGTTTCATAATATAATTATTGTATTTTATGATCTATATAAACCAAGAAGTTAAATTTGTTAAATTTTGAATAGATATAAATTATAATATTCTATGCGAGTCGTAAGTAGGAGGCGTGCTAGATTAACATGCTATAAAAATTGCAGTGGTCAGTGAGTGTGTATTATATAAGTCTTATATTTTACTGCTGAAATCATTATACTTTAATGTGAGGGATACGAATACTGTGAAATACTCTCTTGTATATTGACTCTGTTAAGCATGTAGTGTATATTATGCAATATACCTATACAAAATAATATATAGTATTGTACAGATTCTTATTATGTCAAACATGGACATACTGAATTTTGTGCTCTATCAAACTAAATTTAAATTCCCTTAAAACTCGATATTTCAATTTTGTTTTTTATTCCTTTTAAGATTTTATTTAACACGGTTAGATTAAGTTGTATAGTATTGTTTCATAATATTAAAATATGTATGAATTAAGAACGCGATGTGTGACAGCACAGCGTGGCGACGTTTGATAGCACATTGCGTTCTCTGTGTTGTTATTTCCTCTTACATCGATAAAGACATATACTTAATACTGTATATAACAATACATTTAGTTATTCCAAAAATCGTGTTGCAGGTATCAGTTTTTCTTGCAGCTCAAACAGGACATATTGCAAGGACGTGTACCCGTCACCCAAGAGCTGATGGCCGAGCTAGGAGCGTATGTCGTGCAATGTAAGTACACATTAATATCATACAATGATAGAGATAGAATATATATACAATATGTAAATTTATTTCATATGTAAGCTTAAAAGTTGATTGATATTGACAAATATACGCATGATCGGCAAATAACACAAGGTTCTAGGGTTTCTTTCGAAGGCGTAAACGATCCTGTAATAGTTCATACCGCGATATTAATGAAACGATTTTTTCTTTCGCCTGCAGGTTTTCGGTTTTCCGTTTTACCGTTAGACGCGTGTATAAAGATACAAGGATAGTTAGTTATTTTGCGATTTCTGTTATTACAGTTTTTTATTGTTCGTAATTCATCCGAGTAAAATCAAAAAGATACGCAAAAACCGAAATTAAAAATAAGGAAAATACTATAATATCCTGTGCGTTTTACACGCCGCGCGCACATCATCCCGAGGCCGTTGTTAAACTGCGAAAATTGTTTTTTCACTTGTGTACTTCACTGCCCGTTTTTCACATAAAACTTTTTCACGCCTTACCGAATCACCACCACCGCCAACACCATCTCCTCACTGCTTCTGCTGTAACTTCCGACCAGAGTTTTACCATGTCCTCGACGACGTCGTCGCATAGTATTATAGTATAGTCAAAAACAAAAAAAAAATAATAACACTCTCGCCAAACAAAGTCGACCACCGTCATTTTAAACAATAGTTCTTTGTGTACGCTATTTTTTTTACCAAAGGCGCTCATCGCAAACTTAAGGATAAGTTACACTTTTTTTTTTTTTAATTTATTTAATCTAAAAATTATTTAAATATATCGTGCAGTGTGAAGCGATTCGCTGAACTTATTTTACATCCAGATTGCAATGTAAGATATAACGTGGTGGATTTTATCTAACACTTTACTTGGGATGTCACTAATTTTTTATAACTTAATTGAACGGGGTATTTTTTCTCATTGTTATTGTTTAATGAGATAAATTAAAGAACTTTTTCATTTTATTATGTCGTATGAGTCTACACTCTTTAGTAATAGATAATTAGTAATATTTAGTTCTACGGAAGTTATTACTAATTATATATTATTATGATATGATATTAATTAGTTCAAAAACTTGTATGTTTGAATTCACTTAAATTATTGATATATTAGTAAGATGTATTATATTTATATATTATTTTTTCGTAGAATAATTTAAATTTAAAATTTAATTGTGTAGAGTGAAATAATATTTCTTTGTTTATAAATTCGATAGTATTATAATTTATTACTCATTTGAAAGGTATAATGTGTGTAATTATTGTAGAAAAAAATAAATAGACGGGTTTTAAATATATATAAATATAAATATATATATTATATTATATAACACCATAAATGTATTAAATTTGTTAATCATTGTTTTATTATTCACGATACGACTTAAACTCAAAATATTTAAAGTATTGCTAAATGGGTGTAATTTATGTACACAAACGCGCGAATTCTTCAGTAGAGTATATTATATTAAGAATATAACATGGTAAAAGTATTGTATATAATTAGGTTTGACAATGTTAATTTTTCTTTAAGTTTAACTATTTTAAATTGTAAAGGAAACGACAATACGTAAAAGCTGAGTTACGAAATTGCTAAATTCTTCATGTTCCTCCTTTACATTAAAAAAATGTTTATTTGCTGCGTCTTTATTTCGAGAACTTATTCGATTTTTTTTTTCTATTCACCAACAACGTTGAATGACATTTTGTCGTGATAGTTCATCCCCATTCAATACTGTTTACAGTTGACATTTCGATTAAAAAACAGGTCGTTGACTCCACTTTGTAAAATGTAAGATGTTAACGTTGTATGAGCCATTTCATTTTTAGCAATATGTGTATTATTAGTTGATAATTAATATTCATAAATAATAATAATAATTATTATTATTATTATATTTCTTTTAAAAGTAGATATTACATTGAAAAATATAAATAACGTATCTCGAAAACATCCAATTGCATAAAATGTAATTTAGTAGTTTATTATATATATATATATATGAATAACATTGAATGTACAGAACAAACTTGATCAGATTACACTTACTAGTTTTAGTAAAACAAATACATAAACATGTATATATTTGTCATCTGATATTGTTTTTAATCCTCTACTGATATTTATCTTTACAAAAATAAATGATTTCAATGGTTGCGAGTATTATGTTATAGTTTTATATATTATATTGTACATGTTTTATACTTCAAAATTTAACTTTTTTTCAACTTAAACATTTTTGATTCTAAAAATACGTTAGAACACTTTTAAAGCTAGTGTAACCAACACTTCTCAAAATCAAAGTTCATTAATAGTAAAATAAGTTGTTAATTTATGTCGAGAATGATCAAAACGAGCATATTGAATTTAATATCGGATAAATATGTACCTACCATCAGGTGAATATTATTGAACGGCGTGTGAGAAACAGAGAGCGTGATGTAAGATAATATATTTATTTTATTATTATTACAGTAATAGGCGTTGGCGTGGATGATAAAAACAGCGGTTCTAATATTATTATTCAACGCCTAATGAGTCTGATGATCACGATAAATTATAAGTGTGTTTCGTGTACAATATAATATTATAATAAGTTTCTTTTTTATTTTTTGTAAACGCCACGGAAATTATTGAGGTTTCATCGATTTCGCTGTTTTATCTACCGGTTGTCGGTTATGTCGAAAATGTATATATTATAATAATTTCACAGGCTTATAAGTTATAATATAGTGTTAAAACAAATAAAATAATATAATTCAAATAGCTATTATATTGTATTTTTATTTTATTTTAGTGATCATTAAACATAGTAATCTAAAATAAAAAACATAAAATTTAAGTTTTATTATAAAATTAAATTAAATTGTCATTTTTAAAATAACACCAATGTCAAATTTAATATCAGTTTTATAATATAATAACATGCGAATTATTGTAATCATTAATAAATTAAAGTTCAGTGGGCTCAATAGACAGCACTATCAATAAGTATCTTTAGGTAAAAAGATTATTTCGGTGGAATCGATACAATAGACAATCTCATCCATAAAACTCATTATTAAAAAAACACTAACGTTTTTGAATTCTTTTACACGATAGTAAATCTTTTATTAAATATTTTTTTCTACTATTTTATGCCTAGGTGTAAGTTATTAGGTTTCTTTTATTCTTTTGAATGGAAGCACTCATTTTTAATTTTATTCGGGGTAATTAAATAAATAAAAAAGTGTTGTATAATAAGTAGATAGTTTATTAATTAGTTATAAATTTATAAATATTTAAAGTTTAAATAAGAAGAATAGTGGACCAACATTTTTCAGGGTATCCCTTTATCATTTCATTTCATTCATCAAAACTTTGAATGCTATTATACCTCATAGACTTATCATCCAAAATTATATATTTATGTGATATAATTTTTAAAAATAATACTCTATTCTGAAAAAAGAAATTAAAAATGAATGTTGTTATAAAAAAAGGATAACGATAAAAAATAATTAAATGTATATTTTTATTTTAAGACTTAAAATAATTTAAAATAAATATTTCCAATAACATTAATAGTTTTATTAATAATGTGTGTCCTGCATTGAATGAATCGCCTCACGGCTCACACATATTATTATGAAGATCAAAAACTAAGCCGAACTGTTTACAATACGCGTGATATGATTTTATACGTGCATACGATCGTACACCGTCTTATATTTCTATGCGTATTTAAATAAATTTCAAATCAGTTTTTGACGTGACGATCTACGCGTGTGACGTGGTCTGTCATGTTTATATCTAAAAAATACGTAATTGTTAGAGTTGAACGCGGAGTAGTCAGCACAAAAACTTAAAACCTGTCGTACGCAATATATATATAAATAAATATTTGATGAAAGTGTATCCAAAATCCCGAGATAACGAGTATTAGTCAAGTATAAGGGGTTGCATGCAGTGTCATGTTGCTCGACAGATTTTTTTTGGCGAAAAATACTATTTTTCTTATTCCTACGAGTGGGAGGTGACTATATATACCCGAGAGCTGTAAAACGAAACCGACTTATCTTAACATCCGACACTCGTTATAAATGTTTCAAAAATCGATAGAAATTTGCTTCTCTAAAAATATTCAAAATACATTTATTTCAACGTTTTGTACAGTGAAATATTTTCTTATAGACACCTCTAAATAATGAACTTTTTTTAAGAATGAACTACAAACTAATAGTATTTATCTTTTGAATGGTGAATTAATTTAATTAAAGTATCCTAGAGTGCCCGGTATACAATTTATACATACTGTAAGCTAATAACCTTAGCAGTTGAAGCTATACCAAAAAATAAAAAAAAAAAAATTTATACATACATTTTTGTTTTACGATTATCGCAAGTACTGCAGTGCGAATAATATTGGTGCTGATACTTCTTTTAAATTTACTTGCTAGTAAAAATCGCGTTTATGACATTTCATTATTTCGTTCATATTAATTTTTTCTATCTTTCATTAGTCGATGCAGAATATGCAGATTTATTGACTTTTAACTCTTAAACATATTTATGTTTTTAACTTAATAATTTGAATATACGTCAAATTTCCTAAAATAATAGTGTATTTAAAATTTAGTTATTCGACTATTAGAGTGGCGAGATTTGTCGAGTAAAACGCATACACTCCGCACGTATAAAACTTAAATATTATTAGAACTTAATAATTAAAAAAAAAAAAAACAATGGATTAAAAATCCAATAATATAGTTATGCATTAACGTTTATTATTTTTTTTTAGAGTATTATATTATTATTATTTATTTATTTTTTTTTAATTAAATAAAGTTGATAGTGGACCACCGACAAACGTAATGATTCTTAGATTCTATTGTGTATAAAATACAGTGAACTTCTAAATATCGGACGCAGAAACCCATACTATAATCTTCATACGATAGTCATGATCATTTTAGTGTACATATTATTATTAGCATAATGACGTATCGAAA